AGTGATGACAGACAGACAACGCAACTTGTTATACGTATCTAGTCACTATAGAAAAAAAAAAAAAAAAAAAAAAAAAAAGAAAAAAAAAAAAAAAAAAAAAAAAAAAAAAAAAAAAAAAAAAAAAAAAAAAAAAAAAAAAATAAAAAAAAACAGATATACGTTCATCAGAGCTAAGTAATACCTATAGGTATATGAAGGTATTTTAGCTTTCTATGGTTCCTATGTACAGGCATCAATAGCATACCGTCAGAAGTAGATTAATAGCCTAAGATCAGTAGATAATATTTCGCCTAATTATCTACTTCTGATACCCAATCTTAATGCCACGGCTCAAATTACTATGGAAATGTAAGTTATGTGAAGGGATGAAGAAGCACACCTTAAATAAAATACCAACGACACTATGATTAGCTATATTCATTGGAAGCAAGGACATAATAACCGCAACAGCATGGGACACGTATCAGAGTGGCAAAGCCCAGCAGGTTGGGAGGCGTAGAAGAGAGAGGCGGTGGTGTTTGCAAGTGGCAAGCCCCAGGACTGGAGGCGAAGAGGTGAGATTAGGGTGTGTAGTTGTGCAGTGGCAAAGCCCCAGAAACGAGAAGGCCGAAGTGAAAAGAGGGGATGTTTGTCTACAGTGGCAAGGCCCGCAGGTGGGGAAGGCGAGAGAGAGAGGTGAGTGTGTCTAACAGTGGCTAAGCCCCCGGCGGGAGGCGATATAGAGGGTGGGTCCTACCGTAGGCAGCCCCCAGAACTTTGAGGCGAAGAGAGAGGGTGGTTGTCTACAGTGCAAAAGCCGCCGGCGGAAGGCGGAAATAGAGGTTGGGATCCGTACATATGGCAAGCCCAGAGCCGGAGGTGGAAATAGTAGGGTGGGTCTTAACAGTAGGCAATTAACGGCCCCAGGTGGAGCCAGTAGAGAGAGGGTGTGTCTACAAGTGGCAAGCCCCAGGTGGAGGCGAAAAGAGAGAAGGGTGTGTCCTTTACACACATGGCAACCCAGGCGGAGGCGTAGAGAGAGAGGGTTGGTCTGCCAAGTGGCCAAGCCAGCGCAGTAAGGCGAAATAGTAAGAGGTGGGTCTTATCAGTGGAAGCCCCAGGTGGAGGCGAGAGCAGTAGGAGTGTGTCCTACAGGTGCGCCCCGCAAAGCACGCTAGACTGGAGAACCGAATTAGGCAAGCACAGCGCTGAGGGAGATCGCGGTGGTGAAGCCTGGGGGGAAGGCAAGTGACCATAGTCCCGGCGGGCCTATCTTGCGAACTACCTATCTCAATCCTAGAGCGGAATCAGCATGCCAAAGGCAAGCGTGTTCAGACAGGAGACCCTGACAAGCTCAGCAGTAAAGTGGTGGGGTCGAGGAGGCGTTAATCTCCTGCACCCCACCCTCCCCCATCCGCCCGCCCCCGGTGGGGAGTCCTAGCGAGCGGGGTCGCGTGACGTTCCCGTTTGTCGGCGCTGGTTGAACCTTTGAGCCTTCCGAACTTTGAGAGAACCAGCGCAGCAAAGCGCGTCCTTCAGCTCTGCCGCGGTAACTCCCTCGTACCGTCCGCAGAAGATGTGCGTCGAGTTTCTGCCTCCAACCTGGATTCAGCGTGTCCTGCGTTCGAGTGCTAACACTTGCCGAGGAGTAAGAATATATATTTTAAGATGAATAATGATAGAGAACATAAATGCAATATGGTTACATGGACGCCCAGCTCCCAGGTCCCTACGCGTCCGGTCCGCAATATAATTTCTTAAATGCGAACCCCAACTAATATTTTTCAGTAAATAAAACATATAAACAATAGGGTTTTTTAACCAATAATATTACTTACCTATTAGGTATTTTATCAAAAAAAATGTGTGTTTTGTAACTTTTTTTGAAGCAAAAGTAAACTCCAGTAAAGATCAACGACTTTTTGAAAAGGGACTACCCCCAATCGTGACCGTGGTATTTGGAAATCTGTGCTGAGCTTTGGTAAGCGGATGACGCGGACGCGTAGCCGACTTTAGCGTAATAAGATTTCCCGTGGCAGCCATCTTGCTTATGCAGTGAAACGTCGGTATCCGCCACACCAGCTTGTCCGCGCTTAATATCACCGATGCCGCCACCAGCGACGCAACAGGGGGGAGGCCCAGCCTACGCAGGTATGTATGCGATGTGTCCAGTCGCCGGCTTGTCCGTGACCTTGACATCGCGCAATAGCCCTGCCGCTACGAAGCCGCCCTGCAACAACTTGCGGCAACGTCGAACGGCCTTCCCCACAGGGTACTTTGCTGGGTTTCCGTCTGTAGGGGGGCGCTCTTCGTCTGTGGCGGGTCGCGCGCTGAGGCGGCTGCGCAATAAGTTGGATGAATTGGAAAGTCCCCTAGCTTGTGCTATATTTTAGGTCATAGAAAAAGGGTGTATAAAAATGACCGAGGCGGCGCTGTTAGGAAAGTACACGCTGATTAGAATGGTAAACAGACTGTGCGCGTTTTTTTTAGTTTTTTGCATTAACAGAAACATTGCAAAAAATACCCAAAATGACGCTACAATCATATTTGTAAAGTGTTTCCCTGTATAACAGAATACGCACCTTGTGAAGTTGAAGTACGATGTTAAGTGCAGAGGAATTTATACAGTAGTCAAATAATCCTAGACAGTCCCCTAATTCCTAACAACGTTAATAAAAAGGCCAACTTTATATCCCCCTCTTATCTGATGCTCAATATGGCTAGCGGGGACCTTTTCCGATAGTCTTATATTCAAGCGGGTAGGGGAGAGATTCCGTTACGGTACCGCCCATATTATTTTGCTTATATATTGACTAATCGTGCGTCATATAAACTTCAATATTTCAGCCGAGAAGTATAGCTTAAGTACATGGTGCTATCAGTAATGCTTAGAATTTTTAGATAAATTTACTCGCTCTGTAATTCACTTCGCGCGTATAATATTTGGCATATTGCTTAATTAATAAAAAAAATAAATAACTAATCGTGGCCGTCAAAATAAACTCAAAAATATTCACAGATTGCAAAGCCGGAACGAAAGATCATTTGGCAATAATATATTTCATAATATTTCATTCTTATATTCTATATAACAAAACTCCAACTCGTGAATGCCACGTGCGCGCGGCGCATGCAATTAAGAGTGACTGGTGACACCTGCAGTACGACAGCACGGGTTGTTTTTCGCTTGTACATAAGCAACGTTTACGTCAAGAGCGACAACGTACACATAGTACTCTTGAACGGAGCTTGCCGTCCGCCGCGCCCGCCAACCTTGCCCGCGTGTTCGTTCAGCTGCGACCTAAAATGAATACAACGGCCTCGCACAGCGACGATGCTCAGTACCCCCTGCCTGGCCCGCCGCGTACAGCCTGTCACCATGGGGAATATATATAATATATATATACATATATATATAATAAACATATATATGTGGTGTGTGTGTGTGTGTGGTGTTGTGTGTTGTGTGTGTGTGGGTGTGTGTGTGTGTGGTTGTGTGTTGTGTGGTGGTGTGTGTGATGCGTGCGTGCGTGCGTGGCGCATATATATATATATAATATATCATTATATAATATTATATTAGAGAGGAGAGAGAGAGGAGAGAGTAGTAGAGTAGAGTAGAAGCCGAGTAGCAGAGTAAGTAGAGAGAGAGAGTAGAGAGCGAGAGATAGAGAGAGAGTAGAGTAGAGAGAGAGAGAGAGTGAGAGAGGAGTAAGAGAGGGAAGAGAGAGAGAGAGAGAGAAGAGTAGTTAGAGAGAGAGAGAGAGAGAGAAGAGAAGCTAGGTTTTAGAGCAGCAGTGAAAATGGCGCTATACGTTTGGCTCAAACTGCTAGTGATCTATTCTGTAAAGGGTGGGGAGGGAAAAAAGTCTAAGGCATGAATTCCGAACTCGGCATTTGGTCGAAGTATGTTTTCCAAGCAGCGCGAAAAAAGAGTCTTTTTCCTTTGGTATTAGCCTTTTATACACCAATGCTCGACAAACATGAACAGTATCAAGCAGGCATGGCGGAGGAAGAGCATTTTTGAAAGGATTGCCATGTTCCTATGCTTTGAACTTTAGCAAAGCAAACAGCGGCTTACAACAGTATTTTCGCTATGCGAATAAATGCAATGATTAGTACCTCTACCGTGGGATAAGTATAAGTGGTTAAGTCGTGAAAGGCTCATCAAACCAGCTCGCTATACGTTACGGCAGATTTTTCGCAACAACTATACAATAAACGCTCTAGCTCGCCTACATGAGTAACACGCTAAAAAGCCGCCTGTTTCTAGTAGAAACGTTTCGATAGCGTAAATCGCATCATCAAGGCCCCCGTCAAGGCTTTCAAGTCTCGTGGATTCTGCAGCTCCTCTCTTCCATGTCCTAACGCAACCGCAAGTATCAACGGCACCAGTCTCAGTGCCACGGCTGAAAGCATGAGTATAAAACCATAAATCGTCGGCACACCCCGCAAGTAATGGATAAGCAGTAAATGCGTTAGCTTATGAGCTTAAAGCCCCCCGCACAGGGGAGGCGGTGCGCAATTCGCGCGCACTCTCTCCCCTCTCTCTCCCCTTTCTCTCTCCCTCTCTGCCCCTCTCCCTCCCTCCATGTCTCTCTCCCTCTCTTCCCCCTTCCTTCCCTTCCTCCCTCTCTCTCTCCCCTCTCTCTCCCCTTTCTCTCTCCCTCTCTGCCCCTCTCCCTCCCTCCATGTCTCTCTCCCTCTCTTCCCCATTCCCTCCCACTCTCTCTCTCTCTCTCTCTCTCTCTCTCTCTCTCTCTCTCGCTCTCTCTCTCTCATCGTGTGTATGAAACTGATGAAGCTTGGAGGTTTATTACAAGCGCGGAAATTACAGGAAACGCTGGCGAGACTATGTGTCGATAGTGCGAGAAATAACGACAGAGATCTGGTTACATATGAGCTTATCTGTTGAGGTCCTCAGGCCCGGATTATGTAAATTGTCTCATTTCAATGTAATTAAAATGGAATGTATCGCAAACGTTCCTCCTTTTTTTCACAAAACGAGGTTATTTTTGCGACGTATGTGTGGGGGATGGGAGGCATTGCGAAGAAATACAAGCATACGTTGTGTCATGACACGCACGTACACGTGCGCGCGCACACACATAGGCATGCACGCACCCACGCAAACGCGCGCGCCCAAACCTACAGATAGTGATAGAGAAGAACGTACACGCGCACATAGTAACACGTACAAACGCGTGCCCCAATACGAACGCACGCACGCACGCACGCACCCACACCCATACGTGCGCGCGCACACAATATATATTAATATACATAATAACTCGTGTCGTTTCATTGGAAGCCATTGAATGCAAATTCCATATGGATGTCCCGCATTCATTTTCATGAATCCTAACCATATGCCACAATATTGGAAAAATGGCCAAGACTTGCCGCTAATTACGGATTATGCGTACCGTAAGGCGGAACCTAAAATGCTGAGTCAACGAGTATAATTACGATCTGCTGGAGGTGGCGTATGTATAAAGGCTATATTACAGAACTTCATTAAAAAATATGGATAGCGTAGGCACAGGACGTGCCATCCGATACGTTGCTGGTAATGACGCATATATATATATATATATGCAGCTTGACGCCTGCATCACCCCACAGCGTCATCTTTTACCAACGGACCACGACACACTATATATGTATATATATATATATATTCCCCATGGGACAGGCTGTCGGTGTGCGAGCGTTGTATTCATTTAGTCGCAGCTGAACGAACACGCGGCAGGTGGCGGGCGCGGCGGACGGCAGCTCCGTAGAGTCTGTGTGTGCTCTGACGTAACGTTGCTATGTCAGCGAAAACACCCGTGCTGTCGTCTGCAGGTCCGCCAGTCACTCTAATTGCAGGCGCGACGACGTGGCATTCACGAGTTGAGTTTTGGTTTATAGAATATAGAATGAGATATTAGAATATATTATGCAAATGATCTTTCGTACCGGCTTGAATCTGTGAATATTGAGTTTATTGACGCACGATTAGTTAATATATTAGCAAATGCCAAATATATGCGCGCGGAAGTGAATTACAGAGGATTAAATTTCTAAAATTCTAGATACCTATAGACACATGTCTTAGCTATACTCTCTGTGAATATTGAGTTTATTGAAGCACGATTAGTCAATATATTAGCAAATATATGCGTACCGTAACGGTAATCTCCCGTACCCGCTTGAATATAGACTATCGGAAAGTCCCCGCCGCCATATTGAGATCAGATAAGAGGGGGTATAAGTTGCCTTTTTATAACGTTATTAGAATAGGACTGGTCTAGGTTTTTGATCTATAATTCTCTTCACTAACATCGTACTTCAATTCACAGGTGCGTTTCTGTTTACAGAAACATTTACAAATATGATTGTGGTCATTTGGGATATTTTGCAATGTTTCTGTTAATGCAAAAACTAAAAACGCACGAGTGTTTACATTAATCATGAACTTTCCTATGCACGCCTCGGTACATTTTATACCCCCTTTTTCTATGACCTAAATAGCACAGCTGGACTTTCCAATATCACTTATTGCAGCCACTCAGCGCGGACCCGCCACAGACGAAGAAGCGCCCCCTACAGACGAAACCCAGCAAGTACCTGTGGGGAGCCGTCGACGTGCCGCAGTTTGTGCAGGCGCTCGTGCGGCAGGGCATTGCCGATGTCAAGGTCACGGACAGCGGCGACGGACACATCGTACACCTGGTAGGTGGCTCCCCCTGTGCGTCCTGGTGGCGGCATCGGCGATTTAAGCGCGGACAAGCTGTGTGGCGGATCGACGTTTCCCTGCAAGCAAGATGGCTGCACGGAAATCTTATACGCAGTGGCTACGCGTCCGGTCATCCGTTACAAAGCTCAGCACAGATTCTCAAATCCACGTCACGATTGGGGGTGTCCCTTTTCAAATCGTTGATTTTACTGGAGTTACTTTTGCTTCAAAAGTTACAAACACACATTTTTTTGATAAAATACCTAAAGGTAAGTAATATTATGGTAAAAACCTATTGTTTATTGTTTTTTACTGAAAAAATATAGTTGGGTTCGCATAAGAAATATATGACCGGACGCGTAGCCTGGGAGCTGGGCGTCCAGTAACCATTGATTATGTCTCTATCATTATTCATCTAATCATATCTCTCTCGGCAGCCGAACGAGGACACGCTGATCCAGGTGGAGCAGAACTCGACGCACATCTTCTGCGGCGGTGACGAGGAGTTTCGCCGCAAGCTGAAGGACGCGCTGCTGCGCTGTCTCTCAAAGTTCTGAAGGTCAAAGGTCAACCAGCGCCGACAACGACGTCACGCGACCCCCTCGCTAGACTCCCACCGGGGGAGGGCTGGCGTGCGAAAAATATCTATCGTGTTAGATTTTTCTGGATTAGCATCGTTGGCTCGCGCCGAATGCGCACTGTGTGCGGGCTGCGGGCGCAAAATATCTATCGTGTTTGATTTTTCTGGATCAGCGTCGTTGGCGCGCGCTGAATGCGCACTGTGTGCGGGCTGCGGGCGCAAAATATCTATCGTGACGGTGTTAGATTTTTCTGGATCAGCGCCGTTGGTGCGCGCCGAATGCGCACCGTGTGCGGGGCCTTAAGTCTATAGCTAACGGCATTTCTGCTTTCCATTACTTGTGTGTGCGAGTTTATGGTTTCTCAGCTTTCAGCGCGTGGCCGCGCTGAGACTGTGCGTGATACTTGGATAGGTTGGGAATGGAAGGAGAGACTGAGATGACAGACTGAGCTGACGGGGCCTGAGATGCGATTACGTATCGAAACGTTCTACTAGAACAGGGGCTTAGCTGTTACTCAGTAGCGAGCTAGAGGTTTATTGTATAGTGTTGCGAAAATCTGCAGTAACGTTAGCAGTGTTGATAGCTCACGACTTAACCACTTATCTATCACGGTAGAGGTCTAATATTGCATTCTGCAAGGAAAATCTGTTGTAAGCCAGTTGTTTGCTAAAGTCAAGCATGGAACAATGCAATCCTTTCAAAAATGCTCTCCTCCGCATGCCTGCTTGATACTGTTCATGTTTGTCGAGCATGGTATAAGGTAACCAAGAGGAAAAGACTCTTTTTCGCGCTTGCTTGGAAACATCTTGACAAATGCCGAGTTCGGAATTCATGCCTAATCGTTACAGAATAGATCACTAGCCTGCTCTAAACCTAGCTCTCTCTCTCTCTCTCTCTCTCTCTCTCTCTCTCTCTCTCTCTCTCTCTCT